CAGCTGAGTTTCCATGGGAATCATGGGGGAACTTTACAGCAGCTTCTCAGTTCCGCTAGTGCCATTTGCGCTAGGATGGGTCCAGGCCTTGCTTGACCATGTGGCTTCCCTTGGAAGCATCAGGGATATCTCCCTTCTTTGATGACCCTCCTCTTCATAGCAAATGCACTGATTGGCTTTCTGTTCTCCAGTGGTCTCATTAATCTCCCTGATCGGGAGGTTATGTGGCCCAGAGTTGCAAAGCTCTTTGGAGAAGTCCCCTGTTCCCTGGATTCAGACTTGTAAGACTGGAAAATGCTGCAGCACACGACACAGATTACCAAAGAGGTCTCTTTTTATTACAAAAGGCTGTGTGTCTATATAGGTCTAAGAGAGGTAGCAGGGGCTGAGGTAGATAACAGGTCGCCCGTTTATTGGCAAGCTCTTCCATATGTCAGTTCGGGGGCCCAGGAAGTTAATTCTAATTGGGGCTAAGGCTTCCTACCAGCAGGGTTTGAACATTGGCGCCGGCGGGAACGTTTCGCGCCAGTGAAAGAAACAAAGAGGAGAAGGAGGGTTGTTAGACGCCATGCTGGGGTTTTTCTCTGGGGTGCGGCTGCCATTATGTTTTCCCAACAAGACTGACTCAGAGGGCAAGAGCCAAACATTGGTTTTCTTGGCCCTTTTAATTTAACTTTAATTTTAAAACTTAATCTTAGACATCCAGCAAATAAGTTTCAACAGCCTTATATTAAGAGTACTGGGCTTTAATGTCTACCTCTCTATCCTGTATGTGATAACTCATTATCTTAAATTAACCCAGGTTGTGAGTTCTTAAAGCAGTACCTCTGCAAAACATTAACAGGCAATCTTTAGACCATTTATAAGAAAACTACAAAATAAAATTAACAAGAGAAAAAACATATTTAGTTCATGTAATAGCTACCTTGGATTTTGGTGGAGTTATACATTATAATCCCCTGTTTGAGATCCTAGTAATCATGACAAAAACCAACTTTTGGACACAACTTTAAATGTACTGAAATCTGGCCTACTTCTTTCATAGTCATTTTTACATGTAGTGAGATGGGACATAGAGCCTTATCTCAGGTAAGGCGAGGTTCTTCATAAATCTTAAGTACTATAGTTCTGAAGCTGATCTTTGCTTTTTAGACATCATTTTATAAAGCCTACATAAATTGTTGCTCAAGTTTACATGAATATTAGCTAACACAATATAATATCACACCTAAAACATGAATCAAAGAAAGGCTGAAAGCTTTTGACCTTTTGTAGAAAAGTAGCAAAGTACTTTTGTGTTTTGCAATAAAACCTTTACGCAGATTAGGCTCTCATTAATTTAAAAATAATTTAAATTGTATCTTAGTATAAAAAGTAACATAGAACTTTACATGTCTTATTGATAACAAGTCCAGTTATAGAACACAAATGATATAAATAAATCTCCAACATGTTTTTTTTTTTAAGCCTAAAATTACCATACAACTTTAGAACACCAGCTTGATATAATGCTCTTTTAAAACTTCTACCTTACAGACTTGTATACCTGGAAGATATGAACACATTAATAGCACCACAATTACACTGATGTTTTTATATCAACCAAGTTTAGCTTTTAAAGAAATTACATAGCACAATTCTCTAAAACAACAGTACTTGTTTAACCAGCTGTTTAATTTCTTTAATATTACTTGCTCAAAAACTTACACATATAACCAACTTACACAGACCTTCTTTATCACTTACTTAAACCCTCTTATTAACTTAATCACATAGACTCTTATCCAGAAACACATTTTTCTTTTATTAAATCCATACCTAGAACCTTTTAAATTTCTCTTTTCCATCTGTTAATGTAAATATTTTGAAACAACACTTGTAAATTTCTGAATTTAGGCAGATTATTTTATAGACATCAACATTTTATTAGGGTCTTTTTTGAACACCTAGAAAAATTTATAAACTTAATTTAATTTTCTTTTTTTTTATTTTGTATTTTATTTATTTATTTATTTTTTAAAATTTTTATTGTTGGTTGTTCTATAAGCTTAATTTTAAAGATGTCTTTACTTTCATCTATTTACCAAATTTAAATTGAACCATTTGAATCACGTGAATCAAAGATATTTGGATCCATTTTTTAATTTTTCATGAGCGCTCCTCATATATCTGCCAATTATCATATCACTGCATGATATATGGACATACACACATACAGACATACAACACATAACACAAGTGTAACACATAACACAATAGTAAAGGTCTTGTAGCTTTTCTCAGGTGAAATCTCCATTGCAATGTTTAAAAACTCCACAGCTGATCAAAAATAGAACTTATCAGAAAAACAGTAACTTGTCTGTAGGATCAAAATCATGAGCTCAAAAAAATACAGAATCTAAGAAAAAGCAAGAGTCCTAGAAAAATGACTGGCCAGTAATTAGTAAATGCCACACAATTTACTTTTTGGTTTAAACTAGTTTGAGTTCAGGTAAAGGACACCTTTACTTTTTTTCCTTGGGCCTCAGGTCAGTCTCCTACTGAGCTAGCAGGCTTCTTCCATTTGCATTTCAATTTAAATCCTGCCTGAGGTCTGGAAGGAGCAAGAAAAACTGGAATTCCAAGGAGAAGCCTCATGCCTAAGGCATTTTAACCATAAGTCACAATTTTCAGGTTTGGATGTTGAAAATTATGATACAAGTTTAAGATATAATTCGCAAAATTTTATACCTTTATATCTTCCTACACTAGAAAAACTTGCTCACACAAAACTGAAAATAGGATCTCTACCATCAGAAGAAATTTCTTTAGGATCATTAAGCCACTTTCTTTGTTCTGAATTCCTAAGGTATTAAGTTACATTAAATCATCTGAAAAAATTTTAAAAGAGAACCACACACTACCATGTATATCCAAAATTAAGCTTTAAAAATTTTCAAGACTGTTCCTATTTAATGTCATTTTAATAAGCCAGACCAGCATCCCAATCCAACACTTTTCTTTCCTAAATCTTACACACTGAGGGGAACAGATACCATATCATAATTTACTATCCTTGCCCAAGTTAATGCACTGGTACACATAGTGAAATCTTCTCAGGCTACCCAGTTCAAAATTGATGAAAAAATAAAACTAAATGATTGGGAGTTACTTGCCAACTTGGAAGTAGAGTTCTTTAATTTTCCATCCTAAGTATTTAAGTTTTCTAGCATGAACTATCTGAAATCACAAACTAAACAATTACCTAAACCCAACTTTTAACTGTAAGATTGTGCAATGCTTCAAAAACCCATGAATGAGGAAGTTCCCCAAAGCGAAATGGCTTTAGCAGCTGCTGGGAGTCCCTCAGTCTCTCCTTTTACTTACAGGATTAGCTACTTTGGTTAGGTCCAATCCCAGGCAATCTGGCATATCTCCTAACTTTCCAGTAGAGTCAGTTTTTATCTGCCTTAGGTCTTGAAGGGGGAAGGGGGTATGTACTTTGATCGGCCCAAATTCTCCTTCTGGCATCTCCTGGAGAGGTAATATATTTGGTTTGCCTGTTGGGGCAGATGCAGAGAGGCCAGAAGATGGAGATTTTGTGTGTCCTCCTGATTTTTTCCTCAGTGAGTTCCCAATATTTTCTCTCTTCATGGCAGATATCATAGCTAAGTCTGCTTTACACTGTTGGCATAATTTAGGATTTTCCCTTAGAGCAAAAAAACCTGAACATACGGCACCTCACACCATTTCCCTTCCTTTTTGCAAATTTTATCAAGCTGTAAAATTGTATTAAAATTGATATTTCCCTCTGGTGGCCAGGTTTCTCCATCAGAGAGTTTGTATTGAGGCCAGACCAAGAAAATGAGGCGCTTTTTCTTGAGCTTCTGAGGGTCAAATCTATCCCAATTTTTCAATACGCAGGCTAGAGGTGCACCTGGGGTATTGGAGAGAGAGAAGCTCCCATCTGAGTGAGAAAACAGGACTCAGGCGCCCGCGCCGGAGAAAACTGTTCTCATTAGGGACGTCTCCCTAAGCTTGAGCTTCCTAAACGGTCCAGAAAACCCGTCTCTCACCTTGCTTTGCCAAGGGGTTTCTGGTCCCCTTTAGCAAAGTGCTAGGGTCTCAATTTGCCCTGTGCCAGAGACCCTGGGAGGATTCAGACTTAAGGGCATTACTGCTTATCCTCCCGACCACTAAAAACCCATTGCAAAAGAGAAACATGCACTCTTTTTTGTCTTTGCTCTGTAGACTAAAGGAACCGCCTAAGGGTTAAGGGATATCTACTGGTTGTAAGGTAGTGCTTTCTATCAGAGAGATTACCAGAGGAGTTGATTCTAAAAATGCCTCTCTAACAGCTTAAGGAGAACACAGCACATTTTAAACATTGGAGTGGTAAAACAGACTAGTGAAAGTTACCTATGCACCTTAGGGAACCTGGGCAGATTTTACTAATTATCCCATGCCTTTCTCTCAGTCCTACAACCTGAATTGCTAAAATTTCTGACCTGCGAAGGAAGGGGAGCATCCAGGAGGGAATGGATGTGGGGTTGGGAGTGTTGCATAGCCCATATGGAAGCAAATGTAATTGGGGCTTTCCCTCAGTGCCATTCATCTACCGATCACCCTAGATACCCCTGAGGGCTGTCGGGAGGGGGCTCAAGAGAAAGGAACTTTAGGAATACATCTGAGTGTAGCCTGCAGTTGTTCCAAACTCCTTCCTCCACTTCCACGCATCCAAGGCAGATCGGGATTTGGGACACTGTGTACTCACGCCAATTGCTCTCCGGGCCCAGACAGAAAAGTTGGAAGCGGCTTTGACAGAACCCAACATGCCTGCTCTGTATTGAACAGGTGATTGAGAGCTGCCTAGGCTGGGAAACCTCTCACCCGAGTCTTGAAGAGTGGCGGCTGCACTAATTGCATTTAAGTAGCTGTCGGGTGCCCACTTTACCCTCCAGAAAGAAAGAGAGAGAAAGATGCACCTCAAACAGACATGGGGTGCGTGGAGAGGCGCTTACCTTGGTGTAGGTGTAGAATCTTGGTGGAACCTCCAATATGTTACCGCTGTTGGCCGGTGACGAGTCCTTGCTTCCCCGATGTTGAAGAATAACACCAGAGAAGCACGCCGAGGTGTCAGGGGCTAGAAGGAAATTCTCCTTCAAAGAATAGCCTGACACTTACAAGAAACAGCCCCCTGGGAGACATCCTGCCTGGGAGACACCCTGCAGCCATCTATCTCCCTGAAACATCCTGCGGTTATCTCACCTTGTGCAGACATCCAGCAACTGCCGATAAGAGAGCTTCCCCATCCCCAGCATATAAATACCCCTGTGTGAACAATAAAAGTTTGCAGCTTGATCAGAACTCCTGTCTTGCTGTCATCCTTCTGTGTCTCTTGTCCCTTCATTCCTCCCCACCTAGGTTCGCTGCCCACGTTGATGTGTCCTGCCGGACGGGACACCGAGGCAAGGTCAGAGTAGAAATTAGAAGTTTATTAAAGGACAGCAGAAAAGACTTCTCCCGGAGGAAGAAGGGGACCCAAGAGGTGGAATCCGTGGAAGTGTGGGTTGTCTTCCCTTTTTATAGTTCTTTCAGTGATGGAATGTATGTTGGAAGGCCCAAGGGGTGGGACACAGGTGGGCCAAAGAAGTAATCTGGGCAGGAAGGACTTCATTATCACTTCTTTGGGATGGGCTATCTTCAAATCTGCTGGGGCTGTTCATTAACATTTCTTTGGGATGGACTTTGGGCCTAGGGGCTTTTCTGGGACTTCATTAACATTCCATGAGTTGTCCTGCATTTCCGGAATCATTGTCAGCATGGCCTCCATTTTAGATCTTACTCGATATTAGACCCGATTTACCTAACTACACTGACTACCTAATTTTAAATCTGGCTTCAAGGTCATCTCATCTTTAAATGTTTGAGGGATCTGTGATGATTAACTCCTCTTTCATTCCTAATATTGTTAATGTGTGTTTTCTTTAATTCTTGATCAGTCTAGGTAGCAGTTCATGGATTTTGTTGATTCAAAGATCCAACCTTTGGCCTTATAAATTTGCTTACTATTTCATTGATTTCTGCTTTAATTGTTATTATTTTCTTCCTTGTATTTTCTTTGGTCTTTCTTGGTTTCCCTTTCCTAACTTCCTTAGGTGGAAATATGGGACATGATTTACATCTTTCTTCTTCTTCTTCTTTTTTTTTAAATTTTTTTTGTAGTTGTAGATGTACAGAATGCCTTTATTTTATTTGTTTATTTTTATGTGGTGCTAAGGATCAAACTCAGTGCCTCACACATGCTAGGCAAGTGCTCTACTACTGAGCTACAGCCCCAGCCCTACACCTTTCTTCTTTTGCAATACAAGCATGTGAAACTATAATTAACTCCTACCTGGGTTTTCCAAATATTTTATTTATTTTTAATTTAAACCCATTATTGTTAGAGAATATACTCTGCATGATTTCAATCTTCTAAAGTTTATTGAGTGGGACATGGTGGCACATACTTGTAATCCCAGCGATGTAGGAGACTGAGGCAGGAGGATCATCTCAAATTCAAAGCCAGCCTCAGCAACATAGCAAGGTCCTAAGCAACTCAGTGAAACCCTGTCTCTAAATAAAATGAACAAAGGTCTGAAGATGTGGCTCAGTGGTTAAATGCTCCCGAGTTCAATCCCTGGTACAATAAATAAATAAATAAATAAATAGAAAAATTTATTGAGATGTGTTCATTGTCTGGCATATAGTCTTTCTTGGTGAACAAATTATGTACAGTTGAAGAGAACACGTATTCTACAGTTGAGAGCAGTAGTCTACAAGATATCAATTAGCCCAAAGAGGTTGATAAGGCAACTTAGATCTTTTACATTGTTACTATATTTTTTTATCAAGTGTTCTTGCTATTTATTGAAAAAGGAGTGTTGAAGTCTCCAGCCATAATGATATATCTGTTTATCTCTCTTTGTGTTACTTTCACCTACTGATATCTCTCTTCAGTTTTTAAGTCTTAGATGGTTTAAAAGTCTGCTTGACACATGTGTCTCAGGTGTCAGCCAGAAATGTGGGCAGCTTGTACACAGAATTTCCTTCTCTCTGACTTTTATCTTTTTAGGGTTTTAGGGATTTCCTTTCACAAATTTCCCTCTACTCTCTAGATGCTCTAGTTGTCCAACTCTGTCTTCTGATTTTTCAAGCAAGTAAGATTAAGGTTAACAAACCTGCTTTCAAGCAAAAAACAAAAACATATAGAGCACAATTTTTCATATCTCTGGTTGTATGCACAGTATATTCACACCAATTTGTGTCTTCATACCTGTACTTTGGATAATAATGATCATTACATTCCACCATCATTAATAACCCCATGCCCCCTCCCCTTCCCCTCCAACCTGTCTGCCCTATCTAGAGTTCGTCTATTCCTCCCATGCTCTCTCTTCCTATCCCACTATGAATCAGCCTCCTTTTATCAAAGAAAACATTTGGCATTTGGTTTTCTGGGATTGGCTAATTTCACTTAGCATTATCTTCTCTAACTCCATCCATTTACCTGCAAATGCCATGATTTTATTCTCTTTTATTGCTGAGTAATATTCCATTGTGTATATATGCCACATTTTTTTTTTCTATTGAAGGGCATCTAGGTTGGTTCCACAGTTTAGCTATTGTGAATTGTGCTGCTATAAACATTGATGTGGGTGTGTATCCCTGTAGTATGCTGTTTTTAAGTCCTTTTGGTATACAACCAAAGATATGAAAAATTGTGCTTTATATGTGTAATAAGAATTGTAATGCATTCCACTGTCATAAATATATATAAATTTCAAAACAAAACAAAACAAACAACAAACAAAAAACCCAGCTACATTGCTATTCTATATAGTCTTATCTAAAATGTAGGTTTTTCACCAGTAATACCAAGATGATTTTTCATGCTTTTGTTGGTGAATGTCAAAATGTGCTGATACTGGCTTCTGCTTCATAAGCCCATCTGAAAAATTAAAGAATACTTTAGTCCTTGATTATGAAATCATAGTGTTTATCTACAGTAAAAGAGAAGGATACACTGCATAAAATGGAAAACTCCCTGAGCCCCTTTCTTTTTTCAATCATCAACTTACCTCCAGTATTTGCCTTTTAAATTTTTTTTCCCCAGTAACTACTGAAATGACTACCTTCAGGTAGTTATTTTTTGTGCTCAGCCCAGAGTTTGCAGTTTTTAACTCGTGGAGGGCTAGTGCAATAGGAAGTACTCCACTGTTAACAGGAGCAGAATGCCTTAATTTTCTTCTATTGTGTGTAGAAGCTCTACTTAATTCTCTTCTTTCATTCCTGGTATTGCTAATTGGTGTTCTTTGTCTCTCTTTTCCATTGATTAGCTTAGTTAGATCAATTTTATTGATCATTTAAAAGAACCAGCTTTTCTACTCAATTTAATTTCCTTCCCCCCTAATTTCCTTTTTAAATTTTTTTTTGTAGTCGTAGATGGACAGAATGCCTTTATTTTTTATGTTTTTTATTTTTATATGGTGCTAAGGATCAAACCCAGTGCCTCACATATGCTAGGCAAGTGCTCTGCCATTGAGCTACAGCCTAATTTCTCAGAGTGGGAATTTACATAATTTCACTGAGACTTTTCTTCTTTTGTTGTAGAAACCTGTAAATCTATAATTTTTCTTGCTGAGCACTACTTTAACTGCATTCCATTACCCCCCTTTTTTTGTTACTGGGGATTGAACCAATGCATGCTTAACCACTGAGCCATATCCCCGGCCCTTTTTATTTTTTATTTTGAGACTGGATCTCACTAAGTTGCTTAGGGCCTTGATAACTTGCTGAGGCTGGCTTTGAACTCATGATCCTCCTGCCTCATCCTCCCAAGTTGCTGGGATTACAGGCATGTGCCATAGTATACCTTTTCATATATGCTTTTAATTCTGAGTTCAAAATGCATTTCATTTTCTGGAGCTGGGGGTGTAGCTCAGTGGTGGACAGCTTAACCAGAATGTATGAGGAAGGGGTTTGATCCTCAGCACCACATAAAAATAAATACATAAAATAAAGGTATTATGTCCAACTATAACTAAAAAATAAATATTTTAAAAAGTACATTTCAGTTTCTTACTTCATTAACTCATGTTTTAGTTAAAAGTGCATTAATTTAAAAATATTTGGTATTTCCCCAGATAGCTCTGTTACTGATTTCCAATATAATTATGATAACATAACTGTACATATGTCAATCAATGAATTTAAATTGTCCACTATAATTTTTTATTTTTCTACTTTCTATTTGGTTTTTACTTCATAGATATTAAAGCCCTGCTATTAATTCCATACAAATTATTTTATTTTAGAGACAGGGTCTCACTGAGTTGCTTAGGGTCTCACTAAATTGCTGAGGATGGCTTTGAACTTGAAATCCTACTACCAGCCTCTGGAGCCACTGGGATTATAGGTGTGGGTCACAGCGCCTGGCCTATTTTAGCTTTTTAATCTTCATGACATCTCTATAAGAAAATAGGCAAACCTATTGGTCATCCCCATAAGAAGTTCAAAGAGAGTTGAGCTCCAGATTTGGAGTGATGTCACTAAGGACCTCTCTCTATCACTTGGTTCACTTGTCCTTAGCATGGACTTTATTCTCTCATCATGGGTAACATGGTTACCAGTAACAGAGTGGGCTAGATGTTTCCAAGGCAAGAAGATAGTGTGCTAGAAACTTTCTCCTAAACAGAAAGCAGAAGTCTTTTCCTTCAGTTACAATGAATCAATTCAATCATTTGCTCATTCTTTGATCAATAACTATTCCCCAGGGAATTCTGTTGGGTGACTGGTTTAAATCTGTATCATTTTCTGATGCCGGGAATAGAGTGGCTATCTGAAAAAAAAAAATGGAAGTTTTAAGCAATAATATTGGTACATATATAACAACATTATTCACATAGAGTTTTGCTTTGTTTTACTTAACATTTAGATTAAAATTTAAGCAGATTAAAATCCAGTGCTAGAAATATAAATTCTGAATTTTTAAGCCAGTGGTCCAAAAAGCCTATTTTAGCCTTTCTTTCTTTTTTCTTTTTTTGGATTGAACTGATAT